TAGAGGTGAGTGTATGCGTGTGTATATAAGCGCTTGCGTCTGTATTGTGTTCAAAAAATAGTCAGCCGACATTACAAGCGTTTACAAGTGATATGAGGAGAGGAACTCACGCCACAAGCCGGTGTGCCCTTTAAGGTATCAGACTTAAGTTGATGAGACCAAATAACCAACTCATCCATGATAGCTCTAACAGAAATAGACGTGTCAATATCAAGGCCTTGGGAAACTTTCTTGTTCTTGGCATCTCATATTTCCAAAAGGATGAGAAGGAACATGAAGGGATGAATTGAAGTGGGCAGCTGCGCGGGAAGCGGAGTGTTGAAGAGCTCGCTAATGGGCGCTGTCGTAGGCCAAATGCCCGTTGCACTCCAAATCCCTTGGGCTGCTGGACAGAAAAAGAAGAGATGGTCGCGATCCTCCACCAAGTGACTACATCTTGGGAAAACTTCAGTATCTAGGATGTTTTTCTTGTGCAGGTTGTGCCTTGTATTAAGGCGATCAAGGTAGAACAACTAACCAAAAATCATAAACTTTTTTGGCACCTTTGAATCGCAAATTTTAGCAAGCCTTGGTTCAGCAAGCTGAACCGAGAGAGCAGCATGCGTGCCACGAGTGGAGAAGGCAACACCGTTGAGCAAGCGACAGGTATCCAGGACCTAAGAAAGCAAACAGTCCTGCAACAACGAGTTTAAAGAAGTGAGTTTTGCGACGGCAGTAGAGGTTAGCCGATTACGAAGAACAAGCTTGATCCCATCAACGGAAGGAATTCGTTTAGTCAACGCCAAGCGGAGACAGGGGGGTGGAGGGTGGGTTGCGCTTGTGGGAGAAAGGGAGAGATTCCCTTTTCATCATCTGAAAAAAGGGTAGCCTAGTAGCTATTCCATCCGCGATTTAAAAGAAAAAAAGCTATTCCATTCGTGATTAAAAGAAAAAGAAAAAGCTATTCCATCCATTCACCGTTACACTTACAACCTTCTAAACACGTCAAAGGAGATCTCTTTATACCCCTTTCATAATAAAGGGTAGGATGATCTTTTTCAAAAGTATGTCACCCGCGCCGGTATGTGTACATACTGCTCGTACATACACAAACACCCCTACGTTTAAAAAAGTGTGCGGGGCGTGATTCAAACCCACGACATCCTTGTTGAGCGTACGCTGTAGTAGCCAACCAGACAACTCACCTAATGTGAATACTTATATTTCTTTCTTTCTTCTTTCTTCTGTTCGTGTCCCACTAAACGAGGAGGTCGCAGGTTTACATTTCTTCTTTTATGGTTTTGTTTGGCCGAGGAGGTTGAGGGTTATTTTGTTTTCCATTTTTTCTGGTTTTGCCTAGCCGGTCTTACTTCTTTTGTTTCTTATTCTCTTTCTCTTTATTTTTTTCATTTTCCTTTGCTTTTATTAATATTCATGATTTTTTAAAAAAATTAAGAAAAATTGTATTTTGTATTTTTTAATTCACAATTTGTTTAAAAAAATTGATGATAGCGACCAGTTTACCATAGCGAAACTGGTCTTTCTCGCATTATTTAATTTTTGTTTCTTTTTCAAAAAAAATCCTTTTTTGATTCTTTTCTCTTTTCCCAAAAAATTGAAGTTTCAAATTTTATTCAAAACTTACTTTAAAAGCTTTTACATAATTTTGAAAAAAAATATTTGTATGTTTAAAAATTGCTCAGGATGTCAAAACATGAACATTTTAAAAAAGAGCAAAGAAAATTTGGAACACAAACATTTTTGAAAAATGGACTAAAAAATTGAAACTAAAAAACTCAGAAGTATGAACAAAAAATTCAAGCGATTTTTTTGAATTTCCCTGAAATTATTTTATATTTGCATAGAAAAACAATTAAAGATAGGAACATTTTTAAATTCCGAAAAAACATTAAAAGCATGAACATTATTTGAAACTCCCCAGATTTTTTTTGATTATTTGAACAAATTAAAAAAAAATTGAATTTGTGAACAACTTTGAAAACAGGAACATTTTTGTATCGATGAATTTTTCCAAATCCGTGAGAGCTTGGGCTTCCCCAATAGGCGCCTGAAGGGAGCGATATCGTCGCCTAGTTGGTGCCGGAAATGATTTAAATATGTCATGGATGCCTATCATGGGCATGTCCACCTGCTTGCAAAAGTTGGGGTCATTTTAAGAATGTCCAAAAATAGACCATATTCAAGAGAGGGTGTCCAGATAGGCCAGAAGGCTCTGTCTATGAGCTCGTTGTTTCTCGACATCCTTGAAATGCCGTCAATTTTTTTCATGTTATTTTATGACAAATTCATGGCATCATGCCAAGTTGTTTGGGTTTTCGACAAGTTTTGCCTTTTCTACAGTTTCTTGGTGAAAAAAGGCCGATAAATGGACGGATATGCCGCAATGTACAAACGGTGTCAGAAGTCGTTCAACCTAGCATGGATGCCTCATATTTTTGTGCCAAGCTGCTGCAAGAAGTTGGGCTCATTTAACCATAGTCCAAAAATCCCCAGTTTAGAGGAGTGTGCCAGACTAGGCTAGACGGGGGCATCCCTGAGCATGTAGTTTTTTCTGATTTAAATACTTGTGCTATTAGCAATTTCTGTTATTATCAACCAACATTAATATTTCTTATGCCCAAAACATTTCTTGAAATTTGCAAAAAGAAATTTGAATTTCAAATTTTGTATGAAAATTTTACAAACCTGAACACTTTTTTAAAATTATTAAAAATATCCAACAATTAATGAAAATTTTGAATACAAATTGCAAAATTCGTACCTTTTAAAAATATATCATTTTTTAAAACGCAAACTTTCTTATATTGGTGAACAAATTTTTTTTTGAAAACAAGAACATTTCTTGAAATCTAGAATATTCTTAAAAAATAGAAAATATTTGAAATAAGAACATTTTTTGGTATTCCAAATAATATTTCAAACTTTTTAACAGATTTGAAGTGGAATAATAAAGTTCAAAAACAAGAATAATAAATTAATGAAAAAAGAGAAGCAAAACAAAAAATAGAAAATAAAAAACGCTTAGGCCTTGGGCCAACTAGGCAGCGAAATCGCTCTCATCGCGTATTTGACGCTTAGAACTTTTTGTCAAACTTGTAAATGTTTTTGTCAAAAATTGTGAATTTTCCAATTTTGTGAATTTTTTAATTTCGAAAAAGTTAAATTGTTTTTTAAAAAGTTCATGGATTTGATAAAAAAAATTCGAAGTTAAGAGAATGTTCATGGTTTTTAAAAGAATGTTCATGAATTAGAAAATTTCATGAAACTAAGAAAAGGGGAAAGAAAATAGAAAAAGAAGAAAAAAGTCCAAAAAAAACCAAAAAAGGAAAGAAAACCAAAGTGGGAAAGCACGCAACACGAAGAAAAAAAGTAACTATGCAAACTAGTTGGCTTCCCAGTTGGTTATAGCGGGTTGAAATAAACCAGTAGGTCCAGAAATTCGAACTCACTCCGCACACCTATTATTTTAGGTTAAAAAAAGGAAAACGTAAAGTACGGCTCATATGTTCCAGCGGCTTTCGAGTGCTAAAAAAACGAAAAAAAAATGTAAAGTAAGGCATATGCGTTCCAGCGGGTGACCCATCACACATGCGAAAGTGAGTACGATTTGCCAAAGGTACATATTACCTTTTATACATTTATTAGTGAGAGGGGGGGGGGTATATTGAAGCGGGGGCTCTTACCGTTATAAGATGTTTTTAACTTATTTTCTGAATCGGATGTATATAGACATATTTTAGCGTTTGTTTATTCATTTTAGTTTGTATGTAGTTCATATTAGAGTATCCAAAACATATTATAATAGTGAACGGAGGGAGTAGGTTGGAGGAGAGATATCCAAATGTCAAAGCGGCCGAAAATGCTCCACTTACGGACTCTATCTACACTAAGAGTCTTATAGGCAGACGTGTTGCCTCCTAATTCATCCCTCCCTCCCAGATTTCCAGGGTGGGGCCTCCTTCTTCCAAATTAAGTGATGCCGCCTCCGCTTGTAGGTCTGGCTCTGTGAAAAAATGTCTCTAGCTATAGGATTGCTCCAACGCCGCCATGTTTTTCTTGTGCCGGCAAGCTTTCCAAGCAAGAGGAAACGACAGACAAGTCTTGAATTCAAAATCTCCTGGCTCTGATACTAGCAACAACTTGTCATATAGCTTGTATACAATTTCTCTGTCATATTGTTAGCAGGCCGTTTAGTATAATAATGCTCCTGCGT